GTCAAAATTTGGTATCAGGAAATACAAGAAGCGGCATAATGGTGACAGCATCAGTCCACTAGTGACAACATTAGTCCACTAGTGACAACATCAGTCCACTAGTGACAACATCAGTGCACTAGTGACAACATCAGTGCACTAGTGAAAACATCAGTCTACTAGTGACAACATCAGTCCACTAGTGACAACATCAGTCCACTAGTGACAACATCACTCTACTAGTGACAACATCACTCTACTAGTGACAACATCACTCTACTAGTGACAACATCACTCTACTAGTGACAACATCACTCTACTAGTGACAACATCACTCTACTAGTGAAAACATCACTCTACTAGTGAAAACATCAGTCTACTAGTGACAACATCAGTCTACTAGTGACAACATCAGTCTGCTAGTGACAACATCAGTACACTAGTGACAACAGTACACTGGTGAGAACATCAGGTCAAAAGGAATAATGCCAGACATTAACAGAATACAGCCAAAGAAGAATTGTGAACCAACACAGAAATAGAAGCAGCAAGGGGACGAAGACGAGGAAGAGGAAGATGCAGTGGGAGAGGGGGTAGAAGGAGAGGGAAGATGGTGATGGTAATGGTAGTGATGGTGGTTATGGTGATGATGATGTTGATCAGTTGCCACAAGCTACAAAAATGATATTGAAGATGTGACCCTAGCGGATGTTCTCATCGAGCGATTATGGTCTTGTCCGATGGGACGATAAGCGGTCGATTAACTAACTTAACAGGAAACCATGAACCAAAAAAAAAGCACTAGAGTTGAAATATGTTTCCTTTATTGATCAAATACAGGTTTGTTTTTTTTGTTTTTTTGATTGAAGAATATGGTGTTTTTTTCTTTTAGCAGGAAGAATGTAGATTTCTTTTACTAGAAGACTATAGGTTTCTCTTAACGAAAGAATTTTTTTTTTTTTTTTTTTGATTGAAGAATATGGTTTTTTTTTTTTTTTTCTTTTAGCAGGAAGAATGTAGATTTCTTTTACTAGAAGACTATAGGTTTCTCTTAACGAAAGAATTTTTTTTTTTTTTTTTTTTAACTGGAAGAGTATAGGTTTCTTGTACAGGAAAAATGTAGGTTTTTACAAGGAAAAGATACGTATTTTTTTTCCTCGAAAAATAAAGGTGTCCTTTACTAGAAGAATATACGTTTGTTTTACTGGACGAATTTACTGGAATAATAAAGGTTTCTTTTTCTGGAAGATGATATGATAACTTTACTGGAAGCTTATATTTTTGACATAAAGAATATATGTTTCTTCTATAGGAAAAAAAAATAGATTTTTACTGGAAGAAAATAGGCTTATTTTATTATAAGCTAGATTTTAATTTCAAATGTAATCATAGCTCCAGTGGGAGAATAGGTCTGAAACTTTTAGAAAACAAAATGATATAATCTTTAAGAAATGAACTGTTACACACATTTTAGCAAATAAGGAAAAAAAATATTTATTTGGGGTCCTTATTATTTTTTTTTTTTTAATTTGAAATGTCTTTCCATCTATTTATTTCTTCTGCTTTCACTTCATTTCTATGCTTCTCTGTTGCCTCCAACATAAATAGTTAATGTGCCTCCAGGGACGATATCGCCCGCTTCGATCAACTAATGTGCAGGCAAATATATGGCTGACACCAGGTACCCAAACATGCCTCAGGCGCGAAACAGGAAAATTTACTTTCATGATGTCATTTTCCAACTTATTATCTTCCTCTGTGGGTCCATCTGTCCCAGCTTAGCAATTCACGGATAAAATAAACACACCAGTATCTGATTTGAAAATAAACCGAAAGAGAAGACGAAAAGAATAAAGAGAATGATCACCCTCATGCTAATTCAGTTCAAGGTCAAAATGGAATCTATTTGCAAATCAAAATGCCACTGGCAAAGTAGCCCCGTTGCTCTGATTTGAAATCGTTTCTGATTGAAATCTCCAGCAGAAACCAATGGGAATTTCACGAATGTCAAAATATTTTAGAAGAATGTCTTTTAAAATGTTTCATGGTATCAAGTTTGACGTTTATTGCATAGAAAATTGTTGGATGATTTCAGTTTTAGGAAAGCAAATATGGTTTAGCCGAATGTTAGTGTCAACATGTTTAGATGTGCGACCAGCGGTTCTTAGACGTGTGTTACTGGGTTCTTTACAGAGAATGTTGGTGTTCCTGGGTTCTAATAGACCTGCTTGGACATGTTTCTAACTTCTATCATGTTGTTTAGAACAAAAAACTGGGCTATCCTCCGAATGACGGTCCTAAATTATTGAGCCGGAAAATATACCCTAACAGGGCCTCAGCCACTTGTCAATTGTGCATTTCCGGGGACTATAACGCCACCGCCGAATTGCGAACTTCCGGCAACTTCCGCCACGCCGAGAGTATTCCCCACGCCGCTCACGCGGCGTGGATTGGGGCTAAACTAGATGGCTGGGACTCACGAACAAATAAAATGAAGGAAGCTGCAGGAAATTCGGTAGCTGCTGATCGTAAGTCCCAACCACCTAGTTTAGCCCCAATCCACGCCACGTAAGGGTATATTTTCCGGCTCGATAATTTAGGACCATTATTCGGAGGATAGCCAGGTACTGTAAGCCACACCCACTGGACTCGGTCGAATGTGTATTGCATTCCCAATAACAATGCAGTCCAGTCGGTAGTCTCGTTATCTAGTCGTTGTGAAGCTGGCTGACACAAAAGATGGCAGATAACATCATTCGTCGACTACACAAGTATTTACTTTTCAGCCCAGGTTTCTCATGCATGGAATCATCCGTAACGCAGATTTGGCAACCGCCCTCTGTTCGTGGATTCATCATTGCAGCCATCCAGTTTGTTTAACGATGCAGACAACATTCATTCCAAAGAAAATTCTACCTCTCAGCACATACTGACCGCTTTCATTCCTGTCCAAAAACCATCTACCCTTCTCTCCTTTGCCTTTTCAAACCGTCGTTCCTTTTGCACACAGTTTGGGTTTGTAATTTGGGCTTGTAACTATTCACCCCTCTTTATGACTATCTTTTATTTTGTGTAGCCCGTTTTCTCACTGGCCTGTCACTCTGCCGCGTCATAAGCGGTTCCCCGGAAATGTCCTCATTACAGAAGGAATATTTTGATTCTTGGTTTACTCCATAAAAAAACACAAGACGTATTTTGTTGTGGTTCACAGCGAAGCTACGATATGTGTGCCTTTGGGCTCACAGCATCTGATTTTAGCAAATCCTTAATTAATCACCCTTTTGACCCGGGCTGCTGGTCGGTGCTGCCTAATCCTTCCACTGGTTTGTGTAGGGTTTTTTTTTTTTTTAAACAACAGATCAACATCATGGTACAAGGGTAGTAACCCATAAGTGCATCGTTCGACATCTTCTAAAATTAATACTATTATCCAGTTTCGTCCTTTTCAGGAAGGAATTTTGTGTTATTTGAAGCCCCACCCTGACTTTTGCCAGGGGCCGCAATATAGGCAGGCCATAAATATGGCCAATTGTCTGAACGCGGTGTCTGGAACCTCTCCATGGTGATCCTCATCCACATGGTAGCACTTTGTGTCATCGGGTGTTTATCGCTTGTGTGATGTCCTAGTGGGGTAGAAAGTCAGTCAGTCAGTCAGTTCTACTTCTAACTCAAGCCTGAGTCCGACAATATTTAGCACAGTGCACGAACTCTGTACTACCGGCGAGGATCTCGGCAAATACTTTTTAGTAGATTTTTAACTCCAAATTTATGCCGGGCAGCAGGCATTTTTTTACATGCGCAACAATACACCAATAGACCAGGGGGAAATTACTAGAATAGAGGTCCACGTGGAACCTGTGACCTTCAGCCCTTGAGGCGGACGCACGCCATACCCCGACACCACTCAGCCGCCCCTCCTTAGTGTATGTGTGTGTGTTTGTGTGTTTCAAATGTAGTCGTGTGCTCTCTGCACCATCCAGACTGATTTCAGTGCGACCACTGCTGACTTAACTTGACTCACTGGTTTTAACGCAGCTTTAAGCCAATTGATCGATCAGTTTTACTCCTCTGGGATGCTACCTATATATTTTCAACATACCATACTGAGATAAATATATCTTAATGTGTAGATCGCAGATTCTCTTTTCCACCTTTCTCATCTCATCCTGTGCCCTGCCAACTGGCGCAGGCGCTCATGCGTCTTCACAGATCACGATCCCTGGGTAACTGGAACAGCTCTCTTGGTGATATCCCTCCATGCCATCGTTTTAGCCCATCCAGCATCATCTCTATTGGTCTGCCTCTACCCCATTTTTTCCACTGAATTTTCCAGTTGTCACGATGTTCTCCAATGTCTCTCTTCTCATTATGAGGCCAAAGAACATTGTGTGTCTCTTTCTTATTGTTGCATATATAGATATACTTTCATTCTACTTTCGTTCAACCTTTACAGAATTTATAAAATTTAACCTGCAACATTTACACCACCAGTTGTAAGCTTCAGCTCTATGCAGGTGTTAGTTAGTTGCGTATCCTTTAGAGGACATTGCAAAATCAACCCCAGTATTTTTAGCCGTTGTGGTTTTTCTAGGCAGGTTTACGTCCAGTAGTTTGCCATTGCTTCCTAGACGGTCGGCTTCCCGATACCACTGTCGAAACCAACCAAGCGCGCTCGCAACGCCCAAGCCACAGACGCCGACCTATGCTGGTGTAAACGACGAATTAATTGCCTCCTTAATAATTAAGAAAGACTAAAATACATGTCCCGCCTGCGGATCGGAAGGTCGTGGGTTCGGGTACTAGTGGTGCGGGACCCCCCCCCCCCCTTTTCCACAAATGATCTTGGCTCCCAGATCGACCCAGTGATGAATGGGTACCAGGTGCAGTCCTGTGGATTAGAGGCGGCTGGTAGGATGTTGCCCACATCAGCCTTCAACTGCCGATTGGTCTATAAAATATAGGTCTAGCCCTATATGCCCAATACGCCTGCAAGCGTAGAAAAGGGTCGTTTACTCTACTTA